GCATCGGCTCACTGTGAACTTCGCGGAAAGATATAAAATTGGACCGAGTTTAACAGATAGGAACCAAGCCACATCAGCTATTGCCAAGTTTAACTGGGCAATTAAATTTTTTGCGAGAGAACGTTTGTTCAGATTTCTTTGAAAATTTTAAGGGATTTGCTTCGGAAAATTTTTACTGAAATTTGCACGAAAATCCGCACAGCCGTCTTCATGTAAAAAATTAAATTGCCCAATTAAATTTGGCAATAGCTGATGTGGCTTGGTTCCAGGGTCAGATTTACCTACTTGCCGCCCATGGGCCGCCTGTATTTTGCCGCCCCCCTCTCATTCGTATTGAAACATCAATAAAAACCATCAAGTGAACGTGCCAGCGGGGGAGGGGTGCATAAGACGCGTTTACTCCTGTTGAACACATGTTTTGGGAATGCCCTGTCAACACTACTAGCAAAAGTTAAGTTTCGTAAACCTACCTCTGTGTGGACAAGGCCTTTCATTCATAAGAAATGAAAAAAAAAATTGTGAAAGAACAAACATGAATGTGGTTTAATGCTTTTAACTTCCGCCGCCGCGCGCCACGCAGACCGCACCGTGTTTGTCGCAATGCGTGAAGTATTCACGCAGTCTTGTAGGCGCCATGCGTTTCACGCTGACCGAACTATGTTTGGCGCAATGCGTTTCACGCTGACCGAACTGTGTTTAGTGCAATGCGTGAAGTATTCATGCATTCTCGTAGGCGCTATCCGTTTCACGTTGACCGCAATGACCGCACTGTGTTTGATGCAATGCGTGAAGTATTCGTGCAGTCTTGTGGGCGCTGATATGTGTTACATGCCGATCGCCGCGCCGATGGCTACTCCTTTTCATCTCAAGTCCTCGTCATCATTGCTCTCTGCGCCGAGCCGTTCCAGGCCAAATTGCGTGTTTGGTTTCTCTCTTAACTCGACTAATTAAAGGTGCTGTCTCTTGTATCACTGAAAGACGACAAAAGCCGAAATTACTACACTCTCAGAAAATTAGAGATTTTGTCGCCTTTTCTCGTTTGTACTTTTTTTTTCTAAATCCGAATTTTTTTTATACCTACATTTAAAACAATTGCAAAATTTGCCGCCATGGACCGCGGCCCATGTGCCCACCCCCTTAATCTGGCCCTGCTTGGTTCCTATCTGTTTAACGCGGTCCAATTGATCTGACGAATTCCTCCTGAATTCGCACACGAATCGTCGGTCCTCTGACGCAAGGACGTATCCCGATTTTTGCATGGGCCCCATAAAGCATGGGTTCATATTGATAACTGGGCTCACGTGGAAATTGAGATACGCCTTTAGTTACGTCAGAGGGACGACGAAATAACCACGATCGATATGAGCTGACTAAAGTATACAATTTTCGAAAAAGTTTCCGCGAATAGCGGCAAGAAAGGCAAGTTCTTTCTCCATAAGAGTGCGTGGTAATTTCTTAAAAATGCCACGACTTATTCCTGCAGGCGCATATTTCCGACGATGGGACATATCCCGGTGTGACCTTTCGCAAGGGTGTCCTGCTGCGGGCCGATTATTGCAATTGATAGACAAAGTTATAGACAAAGAGCGTAAAAAAGATATGGAGGGATCCTATTGGTGGAGGCGGGTGGTCGCGATGAATAAACGAAGTAGGTAATAGACCAACTAACGGCAACCCACGAGAGACCCGCTAGCTAGTCTATCATTTCCTCTCTTAGTCTATAGGAACAACCGATTTCAACCAATAGGATAGCTCTATACTCACTATGACTTCCTCGTCTATAGCTTTGTCTATCAATTTCAATAATCAGCCCGCTGGAGCGACTGCCTGAATCCCATAGCAAAACGCCAAAATAAAATAGCGCCCTCGAGCCAACTTGAGCAATCCTCGAAAAGCAAGCACCCAAGCAAGGGTGAATGACAATTGGGAGGAAATCAGAAACATAATTCGGAAGTGGAGAGGAAATTCGGGGAGGATGTCAGGCGGCCCCCTGGCCCCTGGTTCCCCCTTCTTAGACTTGGACCGGTTCGTTAACATATTCATACGTGAAAGCTTTCCGAGTTTGTTGGTGGTTTCCTCCAAGTCACACAAAGAATGAGGGCGGATGTAGCAGGCCAATGCCATTATGCAGTAAAAAGTCCTCATTAATTACGGATTTCTGGGCGATTTTCGGAGTCAACTCGCAAGCTCTGCCTGGGAGCTCAACTCCAGGCGCCAGGTCGAAACCTGGCGCTTAGGGATGGACGAATATCGAATTCGAATGCGATTATTCGAATATTCGAAACTTTTCGAATGCGATTATTGCGAATATTTGAGAATTCGAATCTTGCGATTGCGAATAGTTCGGATGGAATATTCGAATATTTTCGATTATTGCTTTGATTTTTTATTTTTTATGAACCGTGAGAGATAGAATGACACTTTTGACACTTTTGAATGTGATTATTCGGATATTTGAATGCGATTATTCGAATATTCGAATTTGCGATTCGAATACTTCGGAAGCGAATATTCGAATGTGATGCGATTATATCGGTGCCGATGATTCGAATATCGAATATTCGAATATCTAAATATTTGACCATCCCTACAGTGGCGCTCTAGCTCGAAAGCTAGAGCCAAGAGCCGAGTTCGAGTAATGCCGAATGGACCAGGAGACCAGGACCCTCGTCAAGCGGCCAAGCCCGAAGTTAATCCGAAGCTGTCCGAAGCGAAGCCCTGCTCCCTCTCCTGCGCGGCGCACACCGTAGTATTCGACCTGAAAAACTGGCCAAAACTACTCGTCAACGGACTTAGCTCAACGCACCAGCCAATGCGTCGTGTGTATGCACTGGAAAAAAAACCCCATTGGATCTAGAGTCCAGACTCTTAAAAACATCGACAATAAAAAATACTCTTAATTCAATAAGATTTAAGCTTAAATCAAGAACCCAGCCTCTTAATTTGAGCAGATTTCCTTTTGATTTCAGCTTAAATCTGATTGAATCAAGAGTATTTTGTCTTGTCAATGTTTTCAAGAGTCTGGACTCTAGATCCAATGAGTTTTTTTTTTCCAGTGTGATGTTTTGAGAAAATGATCACAGCGTGTCACATGATAATTTTTGAAAGCCAGCTGCATTCAAATCGGCGAATTCTTGTGTCCATAAGAGTGTAAAATGGCGTGGATTCGCGAATATCACATGAATTTTTCAGGGGAAAAAAGTTTTTGAACTCAGGGTCTTGGCAAGGTTCTTTTGTCAAACGCTACGATATGCTAACATGATTCTGTAGAGCTAGTTTGAAACCCCGTTGATCGGTCGCATAGCCTCCAAGTCGTCTTGAAGTGGATCCAAACTCCTTACATTTTATACACTGAGACTGAAAGTACTTTTACGAAACTTGAAAGGGCCCTTTCAGCGTCAGTACAGCGTGGTGTTCATGTAAGCAAGGAAAACACTGCTTCCCCTGTTATTTTTCAAGTGATAATGTAAATTTCTATGTACAAATACTTGAAAAGATAGCACAGAAGAAAGAGATGAGTACAAGGATATAGAAACAAGCACAGTACCCTCACAATCAGTTAATATCGTATGCAACACACACCAAACGAATTTCATTATAAAACATGGATGCAACTATTCGAACTCCACGGATGTCCGTGTTGCATAATCACGGAGTTGAAGGCGTTTTGGCAATCCCGGCACTCACTGTTTCACCTGCGGTAGCTGGTTGAACTGCAGGATCCAAAATTAGAGCGCCTTCAATTTTTCACACTCGTCTAAACCCAGGGTGGCAAAATTACATGAAAAATAAAATCCTGAAATTTCACGAGAAATATTTCATGAAATTCCAGAAATTAATGAAAGATATTGAAAAATACTGGTTCCTTTCCATTTTTCGCAAAACAAAACAAGTGACTTTCTTCTATTTTTGTGTATTTGAGCGCGGGTTGCATACTCTAACTCCTGAAAAATATGAAATATTTTACAGCCTCGTAAAATTTCATGAAATATATTTCCAATCTTTCATTTCTTTCTTACTTTTCATGCCATCCTGTCTAAACTACGAAGATACCTCTTAGGTACGAGTAGTTGCTCCACAAATCATGCACAGCAGGTATACCTCGCTGTATCGCCGTGGGTAAAGTGGTTAGTGCCTGTAGAGCCATAACGCCTTCAACGCCGTGATTATGCAACACGGACATCCGTGGAGTTCGAATAGTTGTATCCAGTCGTTGTACTGAAATACGGTTGGTGTTCATTTAGTTCTTTCTTTGACAAATCAGCATCATTCCGGCGTCCGTCGAATGAATTTGAATGCGCCGATGAATGTGACTAAAATATCACCGATTTCTATCGTAGCATTGTCAATTTTCTGGAAAATGATTTAATTGTTTAAATGCATCACAACTTCGCTCTTCCAAAATGCGGGCTGCGGCCCTGCAACTTCCCGACCTTTAAGGACACTTATAGAAAAACATTTCGAGCGTTTGTCCTAAAATTTTTGTTTTTTTCGAAAGATTTAAAAAGAAGTCAAGCAGAAATAAACATTAACCTACGGTCAGTTCAGAATCCGGTGAGACAAGGCCCAGAGCTTGTAGAAAAAATGTCTTTACGCCGAAGCCTCATTCGCGATTTTGGAACTTTATCTGTAAAGTTAATATTATTATATTAACTTTAATATTAACTATAATATAATATTAACGATATTCTTTCAGCAGTTCGGTTTTTCTCTAGGATTACATACATTTTTCGTCCTCAACACTCTTGGTCCGTTCATTGTGCTGCCGGTCGTAAAGGGGGAGTGGCTTTTCGAAAGAAGATGGACGATAAAATTTACGATGGTAATCAATTTTTTTGCTACATCAATAATGACACATAAAAATTGGGAAATTGGGGTTTTGGCCTTTTGGCCAGGTTATTCGAGGAGATACCAGTGTGCGGAGCGCGGCGCTGCGGCCGCACTACACGGCACCGGATTCGTTCGTCCACCATTCTATTATTTCGCTTCGTGTTGCTGTTTTAGTCGAGAAAAGATCTCCGCGTGGAAAGGCCGGTCGCTGCACGCTTCGCTGTAACAAGGATTCTGTGTTGCTTCGTGTGTTATTTGTTTTCCTTTCTCGTTTTCAGTGCATTTATCTCCTCCAATTTTTGTGAACATTTTCGTGACGTTTCCCTTTGCTTTCAGTGAGTGATTTCAATCGTGCTGTGCACCTCAAGTGGAGTTTTTGGTTTATTTCACTCGGGATACCTACAAGTCCGCCGCTGTCGAGAACGTGTGTATGCAACAAGTGTTAGGTAAGCCGCTCATCCACCTATTTAGTTTTGCTCTCTGAGTTTCACAGTTATCTTCACTGTAACCAAATTTCTTTTTCAATTACATTCATGCTGCGTTGGGTTGCTCCTTATGATCATTTAGAATTGTCAAAATCCTCAAGAATTCTCAGTTTTGTAGCCAGGAAGGATGAGGAGGAAAGTATGTTTACTATGCCCTTCAATGATTTCATTGACCAAATACATGTTTATCAAAGATCTACCACTAAAGTACATTCTATGTATTGAACTATCTTCCTTGACAGTAGATTATTCCAAGTTTTCTACTTGCTTGTAGGTACGTTACCTTCCTCCGATGCCTACATGAGTTTCAGAGCAAAGTAAGGTTAGGTTGTGTATGGCAAAAATCACTGATTTAGAAATAAACTGAGCACATAGGTGTGTATTTATTTTATGAAAATCATGAATCATTTTTCTAATATTCAAACCTTCAAGTTTACTTGGCTATGATCAACAGCAACTAAATCTCCTCAGGTATTTACCATCACGGTTTTTACTCACCAAGTTTTCATAGGCACTTCTGATCTTGACTGTGCGTTACCTACTGCAAAAAATTCGTACAAAAATTTTTATCCTTCCTTGCCCATAGCTCGTTTCTGAAGAATAGGTGCTCACTTTAGAAATAAATAAACAAGATTTGTGTGACTCAAGCAGTCTGCTTTAGTCAAGTATCATCACCCAACTGAAGTAATCTATACCCAAAACCAAAACCTATTTCATCCTCTAAGCTCATGCTAGCCGATTGAAATATCATTATTCTATCTCAGGAAAATTTCCATGTTTCCGACTCTTTTCTATTCCTACTTATTTCTTGTCCTTGTTCATAAGAGTCATTCTCTATTTATTCAAGAAGTAATATCCCATGCAGCAAAAAAAAAAATTGTTTGTCAATAAGACTCTAACAGCCTTTACGTAGTGATGCTTTAGTAAACGGTAACGAACCAAACCCAAAGGAGATAACCATTCATGGACTCGTTTGGTTTAGAAACTGGTAGTTAACAATCAAGGTTTTTCTTAATATCGATTAAGTAATGGTTAAGTAAGTTTGTTCTTTTTCAACTGTTGCTGAAGAAATAGGTATTCAACGGTTTCTTTCGTGAAAATGGGCCGTAGATAAACGGACATTTCTGTTCAAATAACTAGTATAAGTAGGCACTAACATCATTTCTCTAATGATGAAGAAGTCCTTAAGCATGCCAATATTTAAGGTTTTTTTAAAAAGGTAACTGGAGTATGCATCTCGCTTGCTGTTATGATAAAGATGAGGAAAAAGTATACCGAAACGTGCATAATATGGTTTTTGAAGAATAATTTATTATTGAATATGAGCTGAAGATTGGCTAAGCCCGAAATGCATCCAAGCTAGTTTATTAATTATTCAACAACCATATTATGCATGTATCGGTATACTTTTTCCCCATCTTTAAGGTAAAAAGGTCCTTAAACGTCAAGGCTTCCAAAAGCAATAAGATTCTTATGGCTTGAGAAGCCTTAAATTTTAAAGAAGGACTGCTTGTATGAATACGACCCTATTGTAATTTTGGTCAACAAAAAGATATCACTTTTTCCTAAGGATTGATGATGGAACCGGAAGAGTTTGTACTTCTGGGGGGCGTCGCCAGGCCCTCCAGCGGGCTGATAGTTGAAATTGATAGACAAAACTATAGACAAAGTAGACATACGGAATATGGAGTGATCCAATTGGTTGAAATGGTTGGTTCCTATAAACTAAACTTTGAAGTAATGGACTAACTGTTGGTCTCTCAAGGGGTTGCTGTTAGCAAGTCTATTATCTACATTTTAATGTCATATTTTGCAGGCTATGCTGCATAGAAAATGGTAAAATGATTGAAAAAAAATCAAGCCACAAGCCCAAAATAAAGTAAACAAGTAATATTTCAAACTACATACTCAGAGATGAGAAATAACAAAAAACTTCCAAGAAACAAAACAAACGTTTCGAATGCCAACAAAGTGCGGTTTTCTTCAGTGCAACAAGTGGAATCATTTTACAAAAAGAAATTTTAAAAAATAAAAGAAAACTACAAAACTACGAGCAAACGTTTCGCACTTAGCTTTTTTATATTTCTTTAAGTAAATTCGTTTTCGTGAGTAAAATGTTTCCACTTGTTGCACTGAAAAAGACCGCAGTTTTTTGGCGGTCGAAACGTCTGTTAAGTTTCTTCTAAGTTTTTTATTATTTCTCATCTCTATGTAGTTTGAAATATTACTTACTTGTTTAATTTATTTTTGCTTGTACCTCGATTTTTTTTTCAATCATTATACCGTGTTCTATAAGCTACCTTCTTTGTCTATTGCTACCATCCCCTTCCACCAATAGGATCCCTCACAAGGAGAACCGAGAGTTACTCTAAAACTTCCAAAGCGTAGTTAATCTAAATAAAGGACAGCGCTTCACAGTGGAAAAATTTCCATCCCCTTCCACCAATAGGATCCCTCCAAATCTCTTTAGTCTTCTTTGTCTACAGCTTTGTCTATCAATTTCAAAAATCAGCCCGGGGGGTCCGGGGTGCAGCATCCCGGGCGACGGAGTCGGGCATCGAGTCACGCTTGGGGCAGTTGGATCTTTTCGTTTGTCACGGATATAAGGTTGCAAGTAATGCAAGCGACTCGTTGTCGATGCACTTGCACTCTCGCCATTGTTAGATAAGCATTGCATCGGATCGGATCGGAGCATCGCACGACCCGACGATGAACTGCTATCCGAGTCACTAGGAGAGGTCGCACATGATGTGGATACTTTTGAAGCCTTTATCTTCGTCGATACGAAACTTGGAAGTCTAACTTATGCGGTTCTCTTATGAAATTTTATTTGAGAAACAGAGGCAGTGCAGCAATGTGGCATTGTGGCAACACCGGATTTCCTCCATTTAAACCTATGCTGAATAATCGATTGTTATCGGAGAACCTGGCTCCTACAAGAATCGATACATTTACATAGGTTTAAATGGAGAAAATACAATGTTACCAATTTGGTGGATCCGCCAATGTTGAGAAACATCCCCTAAAAATCATGATGTGACGAAATAGCTCAAAGATTTGCAGTCTCGATAAAGTATGTTACGTTCAGCTTGTTCGACTGTGCGACGCGGGGACTAAGTGGATCCTGGCAGGATCGGATCTTTAGATCTCATGAAAAATAAAATAGATTTCGTGAAATATTTAATGACATTTCAGGAATCATGAAGCATTTGAAAAATACGATTTTATCTACATTGAATTTTTTTTCACGATTAAAGTACCTCTAGATAGTCATTTTTAACAAGTCCCAGAGTACTAAATCGCCAAGTGATAATTTTTACATTTCTTTTTTCTCTTAAATTTATATTTTCCTTTCAAGGAGGATTGCGTGCTCTTTCAGAGCCGCACGAACAAAGAACAGGTGTGCAAATTGTTCTGGAATGCGCGGCCGCGACCAAATTGTGGTTCTGTCCTAAGAAATCACGGAGATTTTTTTTCTCTCTTCTTTTTCTTTTTTAAACTAGATGTTTCAGATATCAGATTTTCAACTCTTGTGAAATAATGGGACTTGGGCTCATTCTAAAAGTAACAACAAATTCTACACAATTTTGATCAGCGCATTGTGTTGGCCTCTTAGTGAAAAATCAGTGTGTTGCTGAAAATTGACGAGACCTTGAACAATTTGCACTCCTGACAACGAGACCGAGCAGTTTAGTGTTCATGGCGAGACGGAAGGATATTACTTTTTTAGACAACTGGTGCATTCGAATGTGAGTTGCTTGCGGTTGCGCACCCAGCCCCTAAAAATATACTTGATATTTTTGAAATGCTTCACGGTCTCACGAAATCTCAAGAAACAGGGTATCTATCATCAGGATTTTCCCGATTCTATCAGGAGTTAATCCCGATTTTATCAGGGTTTGAGGAAAAATCTGTCGTAAAATCAGGATTTGAGAAAAGTCGGCTGTCCGATCGGATTTTTTTATGCTTTCGCATAGGCTTACTTAGGCAGAAATTTTAACTTTTCTCCGCAAAAAATCAGGATATGGAAGAATTGGACCGCGTTAAACAGAAAGGAACCAAGCCACATCAGATATTACCAAATTTAACCGGGAATTTTAATTTTTTACGTGAAAACGGTTGTGCGGATTCCGTCGAAAAATTTCAGGAATTTTTTCTGTACTAAAGAGAAAATTCACTGAAATTTGCTCGAAAATTGAACGTTCTCCCGTAAAATATTAAATTGCCCTGTTAAATTTGGCAGTAGCTGATGTGGCTTGGTTCCTTTCTGTTAAACGCGGTCCAATTATGAAATCAGGATCATATCAGGTAGAAATCATATTCCTAAAATGAGAAAAAAACTAGACACCCCTGAAATTTCTTGAATTTCGAATTTGAAATGTTTCAATGACAACACTGTGGCCCAGGTTGACCTCGGTGACCTCGCCGTGTTCATATTAGCCAACGCCAGCCCCATCGCACTCGCGCCATGCCCGCCGAGGAATTCACTGGTTTCACAATCAGAGCGCGATCCTCGGATTGGAATTGCTTTGACCTCTCTTCTTCAATTCGTGGGTTGTTCTCGGAGCGCAGGCGCAGAGGGGCCTGGTCCGTGTGACAAAATCCGGCCGTAATCGTGTGAGTCCTGTGCTGTGTCGCTTGCAGAAGTGAAAGGGTTCCATCGATGTGTGGTCCCCAGTCCTCAATGACGTCACTGATAACGTCACCATCACCTTTGCAAAAAAGGACGGATAACAGACGCCCTTCAATACTCTGCTCTTAGCCAGAATTTCACGTAGAACACGATTCGCGCAACGAAAATGACTGAAATTAACTCCTAACGAAGATATTAACGTTTTTATTTCACATTGGTTACGAGGAATTTGAACTGCCCGCTCACAAGAAACTCAAAGCTCTACGTGAGTCAAATCGCGCACTACAACGGTTTCAGCAAGCCTCTCAATCGAGCAATGTTCATTCCC